GTCATGCTAGAAAAATGTGACTGGCTCAAAGAAATACTAAAAAATGCAGTAGATATAATGCCAAGAATTCCTCTGTAGAATCAAGAAGATGGCTTTTATAGTTTCTCAAGTGAATAGTCCTTTAGGAAAGACACCAATTCATTCCTCTCTTAACGTGATATGTATCTACCAGTGCCTCAGGATGTTTTCTTTTTGTTATCGTATATATAATCTTGTCTGTAGATGCTGGGCTCAAACTCAGCTTTTTCACAATTGATAGAAAAGAATAATGAAAACAGTGAGATTTGATGCAGTGAAGTAGGGGACGGTCGAGTTATGCATGTAAAGAAACTTACTGTCAGTGTATGATGTCCTTATGCTCTAAGATGTGATGTATGATTTGTAAGATATGAATTGTGACTTGAGTTACATGCCCATTATTATTACCATCTAGAAATTAATTCCATGTCTACCAGTTATATCAAAGGAAGTATGTGCCTGAATTGCACACTCCATTGCTTACTGTCGTTGAGGAGGAGTCTGGAATAAAACCAACAACCAACACTGCCTGTAAAGCTAAGTGCCAAAATTAGTTGGCACTTAACCTGGAAGGTACATAAAGTTACAACATCTGTACCTTCTGCTTTCATGCATCATAGCATTTCTTGTTTTCTCTCTTATATTTATTGCCAGTCAACATCCATATTCATCCTCCTTCTTTGATCCAGAAATCTCTAACCTGTACAGGCAGAAATCTATAGCCTGGGTGGTGCAGAAAATAGATTTTCCCTGAATAAAGATAGAAATTAGACAAAGGTTTTCCACTGGCCAAGCAGATAGTAAGCTCTCATGATTCTCAGGTAGAAGCAAGACTAAATTGTCCTTCGTTGCAGGCCCAACCCTCTGGCAGAGCAGAGTCTTGGTTTCCTGTGGTCTGGCATCTCTCCAGAGCTGTTCTCATTGCAGTTTGCTGGAGGTGTCTTTGGAGTCAAGACCCAGCCCTTTACACTCAAGCCAGAGGCAGAATTTGAGCCCACTTTCTTGTCTCATTTCATATACCTGAGCTGTGTGCAAGAGCTGGACCCCATCACAGATCAGTGAGATCCATACAAGCATGGCATGGAGGGCTTCAGCTTCTGCATGGCACTCAGTTTGGCCATCTTCTAGCTCTGACACAGTCTAAATCTACCTTCATAAATCAGTCTAAATCTGTCACCTTGACTTTCAGGGTAGAAAGATTTCTATAATGCCCAATTTAAGCTAGTTGTTACACGCCAAATCCTCCCACAGGCATAAAAATAAATAGCATGACCGTAAGGAGATGATCTAAAAAAAACAAGTCAAAATTTAATTCCCACAACGGCATACTGTAATTGTACATACCTGCCTGTCTCTGAACAGTGATGCTGACTGCACCTTTTCTTCTTTCATTTTCCTTTTGCTGTATATACTGCACTGGCTGATGCTGAGCACAAACCCAACTACTTACAAGAGGGAATGTCCAACTTTATGTAAAATTAATAATGAAAAGCTAAATCTACAGTCAGTAAAAATAGTATTTATTAGTGGAGTGACATGAAGTAAAATTATGCCTTTTAAAGTACCACACTGTTTAATGGAAAGAGAGGAATTGGAAATGAAAGTGCTTAGAAAAGGGCTGATGCGCTTTCTGTTTATTAAAAAAAATAAAGTGGATTCATATATGCTTGTGAGAATAAACTTGGTTTCCTAGTGGGATAAGAAATCTATCCTTTTCCAGTTTAAAACCTTTACCCCTTTTCTTTTCTCTACGTGCCCTTGTAAGAAATCCCTTCCCAACTTTTGGGCAGGCCTCCTTTAGGTAATGGAAGGCTGCAATGAGGATTCCCTGGAGCCTTCTCTTCTCCAGGCTGAACAAGGCTATCTGTTTCAACTTTTCTTCATGGGAGTGGTGCTCCAGCCCTCTGAGTGTCTTTGTGGCCTCCTCTGGACCTGCTCCAATAGTTCACGTCACTCTTGTGCTGGAAGCCCAAGGTCTGGACATGGTACTCCAGATGCTTACAGGGGCAAAGCAGAGAGGAATTTCCTCCCTTGCCCTGCTGGCCAGCCACCCCTTTTTTGATGCAGCCCAGCATACAGTTGGCTTTCTGAGCTGCAAGCACACATTGCTGGCTCATGTTGAATTTTTCATCAACCAGCACTTCCAAATCCTTCTCCTCAGGACAAGAAGTTAGGTAGTGCCAGCCCCAATACCAAGACCTGAGAAGCACCACTCACTGATGGAATGGCACCTGTACTGTTTCATATGGAATATTATTTTTGAGTAGTCAAGTTGACTGTCCTTTTCTACATCTGTGAGAATACTCAGAATCAAGCCCTTCTGTAGTCTTGCCCAGATCTTGATTAGCTCTGTAACAATTCCTCCTGCCTAGCAGCTGATGTGTTTCTTTATTTCTTGTTAATGCTCTCAGTATTTCCCCACGAGAAACAATCTCTCTTCTTTAACTTTTGCTGTTTACATCCTCTAACTACTTCGGGTTTCCAAAGCCATTCCTTATTCTTTGCCATATAGTATTTTATTTTTCCAGCGTGGGATTTTTGTGGAGTCCTGCAGGAGTTGTGCACCCAACCCTATTGAGATTCCACAGTGGTTGGATGCTCGGCTCCCTCTTGCTCCTTTGAAAATTCCAGCTTTCATCTTTTTCTTGCTAGCCATTCCCTCCTGCCGCTTATTCAGTTCCATATATATTTGGTTCAATTTTTTACATAGTTAACTTGAAAGAGTAAGGCCAGAAAATCAATTATAAAACTAAATTGACTTCTCAATTGACGTAAAGAGAAACTCAACAAATAATATTACAGGATATTAGTTACAGTTTGCAGACTTTGAATTTTTGCATGTTTCCCATGTCCTCGGCTTGATTAAATGAACACTTTTGCGACAGAGATTCTTTATTATTCAGAACAGGTAAAAGTGAGTTGCTTATCGTATCAACCCTGGCTCCTCAACAAGGTGGCTCATCAGTGCAGTGAGAATGCCAGCTTCAGATCTGCAGTAAACTCCTCATTTGTTCAGATCCTGGCAAATGAGAGATACATCTCAACCTGTTGGAGTCGGGGCTGTTTCACTGTTCCACTAAAAGGACATCCGAGAGGGAAAATTGCCTGGCTAGCCAGGACTGCTGGGTGGCTGCAACAGCATGAATACCACACAGTGCTGAACTGCATCAAGGCCCTGTAATTGTGCACAGCAGGATGCGTGCTAGACAATACTGTTTTATTAAAAGCAGTTACTTATCTACAAATTATGCATATTGTCTGCCTACAGGTGGGTTGTTTTTGGAAAGGGAGCAAAGGCAGGTATTTTGGAGCTGGCACAAACTCAACTTCTTTCCCAGTGTTCATTGATTTGTTTCTTTTCCTTCGGTAAAAATGCAGAAGAAAATTAATTAGCAGTAGCTACAGAAATACCTGCTTTGATTTTTTTTTGTTTCTTTTAAATGGTCAAGTCATTTAAGCTATTACTGTGAGGATGAGCAGACTGGTTGTGGAGAAGGCCATAAACTATTGGTAAACAGCACAGGTTTAATTTTCAGACAATTGAGAACAATTAGTTGTTTTAGATGAGCGTGGACATTCAAATAAGATTACCGTTTAAAATGGTTTGACAAGATGTATGTCAACAATCAGAACATAACACAATTTCCTTCATGTAATATAAGCATTAAGGGACACACACCTTGACAACTGTTTTAAAAGCAGACCAGAACTTTTCCTGTTTGTTCTGATATTTATTCTGTTTTGTTAATGCTATCATCTGCGCTACTAATCCAGTTTACAGCAGTCTGACATTTTATGCTGCAGTGCCATGACATCTCTGTTTAATATTCACAGTACAGGAATTATCCATACTTTCACCCATGCAGGGTTCAGTGTTTGACAGCACTTAGTAGCATGATAATAAGCCTGTGGCTTTAAGCTGTTAGTTTTTTATTTTATTTTATTTAGAAGACTCTACAGAAAAATCATGTTTTAAATTCTCAATCACTTATGAAAATATTTTTCTACATGTTTTGTTTTCTTCATTTTCTTTGCTGTTCCAGAGCAATCTTTGGTCCTAATGAGAGACTGTTAGGAATTAAATAGGTCATCTTGTTCAGTAAATGCCTCTGGATAATAGAGATTTATTTAATTGGGATTCATTTCCATTAGGTTTGCTGGGACCACTCTCACTTGCCTGCTTTGTGGGACTGTGGAAGAGCTCTGCTGAGGCTCAGTGGGCCAGAGCCCTCGGGGCTGGTGTTCTATCCCAGCCTTACAGCTAAAAAGGCCATTATATACTTCCATAATCACCCTAGCTTCAGAATAAGCCTATTTATACTTTTTTATGAGATCATTTAATGAGACAAAACAGCTGTCTGTAGTGCTTTTAACCACCAATTAGCCCTGATCACTGCCGCAGCCATTTAATTTTCAGCACTGTGACTCCATCCTCCCCAGCCAGTGTGATGTGGGCACGACAACTAAGCTGGGCACACAGCAGTGACACAGCTCTCTCTGGTCCAAACCAGAAATCATGTGTGGGCAGAAGTGGGTGGCACCTCTGTGTGAACTGAGAAGAGGTTATGTCCTTACGTCCCTCATGTTCTGGAGGGTAGATAGTGAGCAGGTGCTGTCCTCACCACAGAGGGGATGTTGTAAGACTGGAAGCATTTGGTCACTGTTGCTAAGAGCACAACTGAAATGGAAACCAGAAGTAGGGATGGAAGGCTGGTGAGAACAAACATCTGCAGTGCCTGTGATGCACAAGGACAAATGAAAATAGACTTCACTTGGCTCATACTCATGTGACTATGTGAACAAGCAGAATCCTGGGTTATAACCAGCCTGACGTCAGCATATCATGTCACAGGCTGTAAAAAGTCACCCCATCTTGGCAGCACAACTCTCTCTCAGCACTGTGGGTGTGCTTGTGACAGCCCCAGCGCCATGTCTATGTATTCATCGGGGTCTCTTGTGCTGTCCATCACTTCTGTATGCAGGTGTGTGATCCAAGTACTGTGCAAACCCGATCTCGGCAAGTGCTAAGATCTCCTGTCAGTAGAAAGCCCTGTCCTGAAGATTCACAAATGAAACCGTGTATTCTTAACCAAAACTGCTTCCAGTATCAGTACAATCTAACAGGTAGGTATAATTTTCCAATCTATTCTTTCCAGGAAGGGACACAAATTACAGTGCACTTTAAACTGATGTTCTGCTTTCCTAATTATCTTTATGTAAAAGACCCAGGTCCTTAAAGGCTTTCTCCAGTTGTGTTGTTAGTTATGTTTGCTTGCTGTGTTGGTTTCAGCCTTGTCATTACAAGGCTTACTTGCAGACATCACTAATTTCACTAACACTAATTACATGCCTACATTTCTACAGGTTAATGGATAAATGTAGGATTTTAGCAGTTATCATTGTGTGTGTGCTGGAAATAGAACAAGTCAAATGGGATCTCTTTGTTTGTTTGGGCATCAGCAGAACTGTGTGCAAAGCTCCAGTTACAAGAGAATGTAACATGTATGATTCCAGGGAAGGCAATAATACCCAGCAGAAGTCTGATCTGGAGGTGATACAGCTTATCTGGGTGGGCATAGGATATTGAAAGCAAAATACATTGTTTTGGCCTTAGTCAGGAGCAATTAGATCTGTTTCATATGAACTAGCAAAAAGAAAAAGTGCGAGCCCGTTAGTTTTGACTAACTCAGATCATTGAGAAAGATACTAAGAGGAGATCTGAGATGAACTTGTAGACTGGTGGGGAGGAGAGCAGAGCTGCAGAAACTGTTACACCTGAATACAAACCGAGCCTGAGAAATACAGACAGCATGATGATGAAACCTTTTTTTAGCACCGTATTCCAGAAATGAAGAACAGTTATGCATTGATGTTTATCAAAGGTGGAAGACAAAGTAATATGCTTTTCTGCTGGTACGCTTCCTATTTCTTGCTGGTGTATGGAAATTTTAGTTGTGCGTGTTATGTTTTTTGTTTATTTTAAATGGTGTTTTATGGCTTATTTTGCTTTGCTTGCATACTGCTCCTCATAATTTTGGACGAGCAATATGATATGAATTCTCTCCTCCTAGTAATGCCTGTTTTAGTTCACGAGTACTTGAGCTCTATTTGAAATAATGGGAAGCTTTGCTTTGAGACATAAAATGGATGAAATTATAGTTGCTTTTCAGAAACTTCCACAGCTACTTTATCAAAGTGAAGCTTTCCTTCTGACAATACAGCCCTGCAAAAGCACCAACTGGGTTTAATTGATACGCTTTATCAGCATTTAACAGTTTTCTGTGCACCGTGGTGTACTGGTTTTGTTCAGGATTATCTGTGTGCGGAAGCTCTGAGCTTCAAATCTGAGCCTCGCTTTTACTGAAGAGCAACTTCCTTTTGTGTGCTTTCTTCTTGGGTTCGATACGAGCTAACATGGTGAAGTGTAACTCGAAGGCGAGTTACAGCAGAGTGCTGTGTCTTGTGCCTGCAGCCTGGAGCACGTGCCAGCTCAACGGGAACGCGACGTGTGGGCGAGGAGTTCGGAAGCGGCTCCTGAGCTGCGTGCGCAGCGATGGGGAGACGGTCAGTGCACGGCACTGCGAGCAGGTGAAGAGAGAAGCCGCGCGCCGTGGAGAGACGGGCAAACATTAATTGAATTCTCCTAATTTTCTGCCCCTCAGCAGCATGATGTCGCCCTGGTTATGGCTTACGTGTGCATTTTGTTGCTCGCCGACAGCGTCGCCTGGAGAAGCCGGTGGAGACGAGCAGCGAGTGCGTGGTGCAGTGCGTGGTGGACTGCCGGCTATCGGCGTGGTCGGCCTGGTCGCAGTGCTCCCAGACGTGTGGCTCCGGTGGTGAGTGCCCTCCTGGCCTTCCCCTTCTACCACACACCATAGAAATTCAACATTTGATGTGCTTCAGGCAGCCCGTAGGGGTTATGGAGATGTAACAGGCTGTTTTCAAAGGAAACAAGTAGAGATGCCGGAAAGTGGGACCTGACTTAGTGGGCACGGTGGTGATGAGTTGACAGTTGGACTAGATGATCTTAGTGGTCTTTTTCAGCCTCAATGATTATTTTGTTATTTAATTTAAACTTTCAGAATTCAGCCATAGGAAACACTAACCCCTCCCAGATAAAGTGAGTGCTTAGAGTTAGCAGAAATGCTAGGGAGTTACAGGATTCCTGATAGATATAAAAAGCTTTTCATATTACTTTTAGCTACATAGTGAAATCAAATTGAAGAAAAAAACAGTAAGAATATTGTTCTTGAGTTACTACATGTTGCTGTATCCATCCTGTGACCAGCCCCCTTTGTGTTTGTATGACTCCAGTAACTTCAGCAAAGTTTTATGTAGTCCGAACTGCTCACCTAAGTAGAAAAAGCAAGAGGATTAGGGCCTTCCTTACTTCTGTATGAGTTAAACAAAACTTTCAGTGTTGATACGAGGAAATGCATTGAAGATTGTATTCCAAATACGCTCATGATATTATTTCCCAGGCTTGTAGATTGCATCAGACGTACAGGAAATACTTAAACCAAATTCACTGAAGATCAAAAAGAAAAAAGTTTGTAACTTCCATTAAATGATCTCTTCAGATTGATTTCAGAAATCAAAACATGTTACAGAAGAAGCTTAATATTTGGATGAGTGACGTTCTTTCTTTGCTGAGATTTTAGCCCTGTTGTAAAACAGTGCTCTCTTAACATAAATGAATAATTCATAGATAGTATTTTAAAATCTAGGAATACTATTCATTCCAAAGTTCATTTTTCCTTCAAAATCCATTTTGGAGAGTTAATGCTCATGTTGCTGAATGGACTTAAGAATGTTTTTGGAGTGTTCAATCACTCACTGAAATAAATAGTGCAAAAGCAACTTGTAACTTCCTTATGGCTTTTAGCATGATTAATGGAGCAGTTTGTCCTGTGTAATGCCTGAAGGTGTTTTTCTCTTGAGCACTCAGACTGCACAGTCTGCAAAGAGATGTGCATACCTCGTATATACGTAATAGAGGCATACCTCGTATTCCTGATCCTGAAATGCTCATCCAAATCCTAAAGGCTAGTTAAAGAATTGATGGTTGGTAATGCATTTAAGGAGCAAATACTTGCATTGTGTCCTAAGCCAAAGCTGGGCATCTGCAGGGACTGAGCCAACTGAAGTCTTCAGTGCCCTGCAGAAGTGGAGCTCTTCTGAGAGTTCCTTGCTGGGGGTGTCAAGCCACATTAAAGATAATTAAACCACATAGTCAAACACAAGCTTAGTTCAATCTGGGTCATCTTCTGCTTCACAGACAAAATAAGTGTTATACAGTGAGTAGAAAACTAATTAGAGCAGATCAGGCTGTACACATGTATGATTCAAAAGCTGAAGGTTACTGTTCTGTGAATGTACAGACAGTAAACATCTCTGAAACCTACCTTGAATTCTGATACGAAACACAGGAGATGGAGGTGCCTTTTCACCAGTCCTGTAGCTTGGCCTCTTGTGTGTTTCCAGCAGCAGAAACCTTCCCTTCAGCTTCTTCTTTATCTTCCAGTTGGCTATAAATACTACTAATGGTAGTATCAATAGAGAAGTCGTTACCGATGTACCCCCTCACAGGTGGTACTTCACAGATGAGTATCATGCAGCTTTCCTTCCCAAATGTTGACAGGCTGCAATACTGCACCATGAGTTTCTCTTTGGCATTTGTGAGAATAGGATTAAGCCTCATATTAGACACAGGAAACCAAAGGATGATAGCAAACAAGCTGTGGGAATATGGAATAGTAAACACTGATTCTGCTTCCCTCTGCCAAACAAATAATTGCCCACTTTTTGATAAAGCCAAACTGTAGGACTTAAATGCACACTTCTCAGAAATAATTCACAGCAAATCAGCTGTGTGTGATGTTACTGGCTCTGCTGTTCTCCTGTTCACTCAGAAAAACATTCTGCTTTTCTGGCTTTCTTGAAGAGCATGTAAAGGGTCCTCTGAAGTACCAGAAACAATTTCAAAGGGAAAAATAATTTAAATATCATTCAGATCAAAATTTAGTGTTGCTAGATGTATGCTTTCACATGTTTCTTAACTCAAGCAACGCTGCTAATGTTTTCATTCTGTCCTTTTCTTCCAGTAACTTGGTTTGCTGTGGTATATTTTAATGGATGGCGCCTTTTTCTTGCCCAGGTTTTATTTTATGGAACAATGCATTCAAACACGATGCGGTGCTGCTGTGTATGTGGCTCTGACATCTAACATGGTTCTGGTACACAGCAGCCGAAGGCAAATATATTGATTTTTATAAATGATGATGAGTAAAATAGATCTCTTCCCTGCCTGCACTGAGCCTGCGGAGACGTGTAGCACATTTTGCTTGTTGCAGCTGTGGTTCTGTGCAGCATCTGCTCTGGATGCTGGCTGGGGCCTGAGACTGACTTTGTGTTATATAGCAGGGCTTCCTCGTGCCAGTTTCTGCACTGTTACAGAAAGGTGCATAGTCCTGGTTAATGCATGGTGCTCCTAGGATTAAAGCTACTAGCAACATATTGGAAAAAGATGTTTCCCCGCAGGATGTATTTCCTTTATTGAGGCAAGTGAATGCCGGGGAAGTTGTACTTTTCTAAGTAAGTATTTTCCAGTCTGGTATAGTTTCTCTCCTACAGCTGTGTTAAATAGTATAAAAGCAACTAAACCTATGCCTTGTCACATAGGAAAGTGACTTTGTCAAATAAATGGTGGGACTTAACCTGAGTTACCCAGGGTTTAACACACACTGCTGTGTAAATATCCCCAAGTAATTATTTCTTATTTTCAGTTTTCAGCACCCATTTAATGCTGTAGAGCAGAGGAGACAGACCTGTGGCTAATTCATTGCAAAATTAAGGAAAAAATCATCAGGCAATTAAAGAAAGAGCTAAGATTACTTTTCTATCCTGGAGTTTGTGTTGGAAGCAAATGAATTTAGATGCGTGGAGTTTCTGTTCTGCATAGACAGTAAAAAATAAGGTATTTAGAGAGAAAAGACAGGTGGAGTTTTTCTGCTCCTTGAGCGGCAATGGAGCACCTAGGTAATGTTTATAGAGTGAGGAAATAAACCAGAGAGCTTTAAGAGATCCACTGCAGTGATTGCACCCAAGAGACATTTCAACAGAAGTTCTTAGGCAAAATTTCTCTCATGATTTTTTCACGGTATAGGAAGGAAGAGATAGGAGAAATGAGGCAAACACCATATGACCATTGTGAATGCAGTGATTTTAAATGGTTTGGATAACCCACTGTGGGGAAATAAGATGTAAATAAAAACATAATGGTTGTTAGTTCCTCTTTAAAGGAAAATCGGGATTTTTATCCTGTGATCTTCCCATTTACAGTTTGTTAGAAAGTTGTTAAGCGGAGAGTATAAAAGGAAATTACGTCTTTAATTAAAATAGCTTGATGAATACTTCAGGGTTTTGAGCCCCTCCACATGAGCTCAGATCTTTAACTCGGAGCTGTGGCTGCCACTTTCCAGCTCATGCCTGTGGGGCTCAGCAGTGAACTGCTTGCCCCAGGCATCCCCTGTGCTGTCTCCTGCAAACCCCACAGCTGCAGCTTTCCTGCTTTCTCTAAGAACCTTTTCCATTGCTAATCAGTTCCTAGATCTCACAGAGCTACATGCTAACATTCAGCCTAATTTTATGAGCTGCATATCGCTGCTGGTTGCAGCATCCCTGAATGTGCTAGAGGCTGGTTTGCACAACTTCCCATTCTGGAGTAAGCAGCATCACGTCCCTTGGTCTTCTCTCATTCTCCTGCTTACAAGTACCTTGGTATCTGAGTTCCATTGCTGCAACCCTCTCTTTCCATGTGCTAGCAGCAGAATGGTTGCTCTCCTGGTGCACCTTACCTTTTTTCTGTTCTCACCTAGGAGGGTTTTTTCCACCTCCTAATGTATCTAATTCTACAATGGCTGGATGCACAGTCATGTGGATAAGAGCTTTTATCATCACTTCTGTTACAAACTTCCTCGGTCCAGAGGATTAGAACTCGAAAAGGAAAAAGTCTTGAAATTGGTTTAAATGGGTTTAAAAATGGAATTCAGTGGGTAAGAACGAGGGAATAGCATTGGACAGGTAAGAAAACTCACTGAGATGTGTCAGTAGCATTTTCAGGTGAGTGTGCTTTTAATTTTCACTTGCCAGATTTTTTTTGGGAAGCCCTACTTGTAGAGACATTCATGATGGCAGTACCCAAGATGGTAACTAAATGGCTGAAATACAAATGGGAATACTTCACTGCAAAGCCTCCTCTCTTTCCTGGTCAGGGAGTTAGCAATTATGGCTTGCACCTGTTTTGCATGGGTGTGCTCTTATTACTGAATCCTTTTCCCTATTTTTAACTGTTTCTCAAATCCCCGTCTGTTGCGAGACGAGGCAGAAGATTTATCCATAGCACAATCTTATGCCTTCCATTGCATAAGGGCTTTTTTCCAGTTTTCTTTTTAATTGGAGCCAGGATTCTAATTGAATCATTTTGAGTGAAAACATTCCTGGATAGAAACGGACAGCAAAAGAAAAGGAAATGGAATTGCTGTAACTTTAATGAGTGCATTCAGTTTTATTATTTCAAAAGTGGTAACATAATTGCTTTTTCCATTCAGTAGCTGAAGAAGTTTTCACCAATAATAAATAGGATTTTAATGGAAATGGCAGAAGTGGTTATGGACGGTAATAGCCATTAGGGTGTTCGCAGTTTTCAAATTAGGTGCACATAATTGGTCATAAAAGGAAAATTTCATTTGTTAAAAATCTCTAGAAACATATTGAATGGACAGGGGTAGAAATGATGCTTCCGTAGGAATTATTTTCCTGTCGTATTTAATAATCAGGATTTAGTCAAGTGTTTAACTGTGTTGCATAAACAAATAACATATTTGGGAAACATACAAAACTGTGTTTAAACAAAACTGTGCTCAGAAATATCAGCAACTGCATCGCGCGGCAGAAGATCGGTAATTGCGTCCGTATCAGCCGAATAGTCTTCCCCAATAATTGCTTTATTATTTTTGTTTGTTTGTTTTGAAAAAGAGCATTTTTATTGATGGAAGATGAGCTTGTAACCATGCTGACCCCCAGATCCATTCCTTCCTGCTGACTGCCATCTCTTCTCTCCGCAGGCCAGATGGTGCGCGGGCGCACCGTGCTGCTGAAGGCTGCGGCCGAGGGCCGGCCCTGCCCAGCACAGCTCAGCCAGCACCGCAGCTGCCCGGTGAAGCCCTGCTACAGCTGGCATCTTGGGCCCTGGTCGCCCTGCAGACTCCAGGTACGGCTCACAGCCACCTTGGGGTAGCCATAGATCTTCCTTGTTGAGAGGGAGGCGTTTCTTTTCCAGTTGTTGGAGACGCAGGGGAAATTCGGGCATGTAAACCTGTGCGCGTGGTCTCTCAGCTGGCGGCAGCAATTTATAGCAATATAGGTTCACGTAGTGTGAGCTTATAGTTGTATTAAAGAAGATTTATGGAGTGAATGTGCTTGAGCAAGCATAGTTGTGGTGACCTATAATTTAGTTATATAAAGCGACTCTAACGAGAAAATAGCTTGTCTCTTCTTCTAAGAACAATATAGGAGGTTTTTTAGGTTTTTTCCTGCAATAGTGTTCTTGCAAGGACTGTGGGCTCCTCCTTGCTCTTTTTAACAGCTGGAGAATGGCTGGAGTCAATGTGGGCTCTGCCCTCCACGCTGCAGTCGTTCTCCCACTGCCATTGGCCATTGTCAGCCTTGAATTGATATTTTTTCCCCCTGCGCTTTTTCTTCTCTCCTTAGCTGTTACTTGACGTCTCCTGTATTCAAATAGATTAGTTGGTAACTAATGGGCAGCTTGTGTGAGTTTCTCAGACATGATGAAGCCCGCTTGGGCTGCTGAGAGCACTGTTTGCTGTGGTTCAGGTGGAGAAATGCTCCTTCTCATCCTGAGGCACAGGACCTATGCACAGGCCCCTGCCTGATTTTCCATATTGCCAAATGTAGGAAATGGAAGACCAAAGTGGAAGTGAAGACACATTATTTGTGTTTTCTGATCTGCCCTTTAGTGCAGCATGCATGACTTGAATGCTTGTTCTATTTCTGGCTGCAGCTGATGGACCAATAGCAAACGCCAGAATTTACATGGCTTTTTGGAGATGAAATTTGGAGTATTACAGCCTTTGGACAGCTCAGGATCACAGAACCAGAAATACATTTTAGGGTCACCTTTCTTCTTCATTCCTGTGCTTAACAGCTCGTTGCAGATAAGGATGTGAATTCAGCCTTTGTATGTGCTGCACTCAGTATTTATTTATGTATAACATCCTTAGCTGATATTTTGTCCAGCAAAGGTAAGCAAATTCTACTAAGCATTAGGGATGAGCGATTCAAGCAGAGGAGCTAACATAGCTGATAAAAGAATTAGTAGAGAAGCTGAATTAAGGCCCCGCATATTCTAGAAAAATAACGCATCATGCAGATTAAAAGTGTGTACATCCAGAACCATGCTATATTTCAGCTCAGAGCAAGTAATCACAGCCTTTGCTTAGCCAGATATCATCCTGCACTTGCAGTGAGATAGAGCTTCCTTCTCTCCTTAAATTACTGTGTTGTAGTTTCTCCCCCCTTTGCTTTGGTTAGGAGAGGAGCCATTTTTTTCCACGTTCAGTTCTCTTTAATGAGGTGCTTAGGAATTAAATGTAGTTCATAAATACAAGGTGATTTATTCCTGTGCTTTTCTGGAAAAGAAGCTTAAGTGTACTTTCCAAAGAAAGCTTTCAGAAGTCGTGTTTTCAAGGATGCTTTGTAGAAGAACGTAAATACATCCCATGGTAAGACCAAAATGCATGTCGTGAAATTGTCCTCCTGGAGTAATGTAAACAGGACGACTCATTATAAGGCTAAAGTATTTCTTCCTTGTTTTATGAGATAACTGAGACTGCATTTCTTAATTGTAGAAGGACTATTTTATGCTAAATTGACTTTGTGTGAATAATTAGAGGTGTGTGCGTGTTCAGGAGTACAGCCTGCTAAGTGTTTTGTAGTGCTTGCTTTCACAGTCTGTAAATCAGTGCACTGTTCCCCAGGCAATTCCCCATGCCACGAGCACCCCTCCTGTAGGTGTGGGCATTTCTGCTGCATTCAGAGGGATGTGGAACTCAGAAAATGGGCAGTACACATCATCTTAAAGGGTTGCATTACATCAGTCTTTTTTCCATGGGAGCTGAAGTGTTTAACATTGATTAGTAAAAAAAAAAATAATTAGAAAATAGAAATTAGTAGTGGGTGACAGTGTTCATAATTTTTCATTAAAGGAGTGCAAGCCAAGTAGCTGGATATTATCAAGAATTAGCTGCCTAACGTTGATAAGAAGACCAAGAACCCTGTCTCTAATTTAAAGTGTTTTAAAAGATGGTTCCTTAACTGTGCTCAGACAATGGTTTCTCATTAAGGAAAGCTTTTACCTGATGAGATGCTCATCAACCTATGAAAACATTGGCCAGTCAGTTCTTTACCTAAGATGATTGTGAATACACATGAATCCCAATAAAAGCTAAAAAGGGAGAACTTTTCTTAAGGGCACATTTCAACAAAGCATCTCATTGGGACTGTGAGCCCTTGTGCTGTTGGTGTGCTAGAGATGGCTGCTGTATGGGCAGACCTCCGCTTACACCCTCGCATGGAAGAGTACTGGTAATATAGATTTGGTCCCCAAAGTTTTGAATATTCAATCATTTCCTCAGCAGTGCTCCTCTGATTAGCAGCTGCTCACTGAGTCCTCATTGTGCCGTCACTGCAGCAAATTTCCACTGATTCCACACCTATTAATTCGGTCTTCAAATGTATAATTTTGGGGAATGTGAATAATTTTTAGGATGATAAGGAAGTTAATGCATTGCTCCTGCATTGCTTATGACCTTGCCAAAAACATCAAAAAAGCCCACTGTCATTCCCTCTGTAAATGACAGTATGACACCTTATCTTTTGAATGCGTTCAGTTCATTGTGAAAACGATTTCTAGTCTTGAGTGAAAGCAAGTAAATGGAAGGCACTGTTAAAAAGCTAACATGTTTGTTTGGAGTTGGTTTAGAGTCCATGATTTCTCTTTTTTTTTTTATCCTAAACAAATGTATTGTCAATATTGCCTGATAGAAGAATGAAAAATGTTGCTTTGAGGCGCGCTAACTTTTATAGTGGAGGCTACCAAAAAATGCATTCTTTTCATGTTATTAATATTTATGTCTCTGCTGCTGTATGACTATTCATACATCGTTGTGTCGACAAATACTTGTATATTTACGACTCGTTTATAAAAGAACAAGTATCTTTTTAAAAGTTTTTTTGTCCTTTCCAGTAATCTTCAGCAATTCCTTGATCCACTTCTTGAGCTGCACGCAGGCTGCAGTTTGATCAGTGCCCATTTCCCCAGAGAATTTTCTCCACATCGCACTCTGTTTCCACCAGCAGTTTCCAAGAACTCTAACCCAATTGACAGCTGCATGAGTTATTCACACACCATTAATCTCAGGCTGCAATAGAGGTTTCAGCAGTGAAATGGTAATTTAGAGCAGTACGTTACAGACCGACTAAAATGAAACATGGTGTTAAAAACTTGAGATCTGGCTGCATATGGTAAATCTACACTAATGCTTCTCTAAGATGCTTTTGATAAGCAACTACTCTCAGTCCAACTATTTATGCCCCTATTTCCATTTCATTGTACGTCAGCAACAGAAGAGGTCTGGAGAAATTGAAAAAGGTACCACATGTTTACAGGAGAGATATTCTTGAGATTCCTGCTATCAAACACGCTGCCAAATAAATGCACTTGGTAGGAGCCATTCTGTTCCACAGATGAAGTCCATTATTTTAAAAGAATCTACTGCCAAGTGATTCAAAGTAGCATTTCCCTTGGTTATATAAAAGCAATGTTTCATCCTTCTTCTTGAGCTTTACTGAATTTTGCAAAGTGCCATTTCCACAAGGCTTGAGACACATGTTCATAAAGCATCACACAGGTTTAAGTTGTGTACCTCAGACATCACTGCAGCTCTGTTTTTCAGGGAAAAATGAAATAATTCCAGCCTCTAGAAATAGCCTCAGGGCATCAATTCTCACAGCATCTTCAGCTCTTGATCATCAGATTAGCCAAATGATATTGATTTTCTGGTAGAGTAAGTCTTCAGCAAGTAGTTTGGTGTATGGCAATTTGGAGTATTTTAGGACTGGGCTGAAGAGCGTGGAATGGCTTGCATGGAGCCTCCTATTGCTTGTTCACACCAGTGTCAGTGCTAACAGACTGTGGTTGGCTTCAAGTGGCATTTCAGTAAAGCAGGTGATCTGTGTCCACATCAGAACCGCTAACTCCCTGCACAATTAAGAAATTACATAACGCGTTAATCTCTGCAGCCTAATTAAAAGCGTTGATGGGTTTTTGCTGTTTGAATTTAAACCGTTTAAGTGCCCCATATTGGGCTGTATCACCAGAGGGGGTGAATGGAAATGCTCGTTTCTTTTTGAATGGGCTCTGCCATTGGCCTCTTCAGGGAAGCCAGAAAAGCCATCTCTGTGTTTATTGAACTGGGCATTCCTTAAGAATCAGTAAATACACAAGCTCTACCTAAAGACATGGAGAGCTTGCCCCAAAGACTGTATTCAGCTTTTACAGTACCCATCTCTTCTGGTAGCTTTGCTGCCTGGGCAATGATCAGCATTCCTAAAGCTGTGCTCTTCACATTTGTTTTTTTCCAATGCTGTGCTGGGGGAAGCACCCGCCTGAGCTCTGCCCCATCTGCTCAGTGACTCCTTTTTTCCCATATCTCCCACATGTGGAAAGGAAAGGATTTATGTGCTCTTCTCCCCACTTGGGCTGCAACACACTTTTTCATGTTCCATTGCCTCTGAGCTTCTGTAGAGCTGTGTGTGGAGATGATCTGCATCTGTTTTCCCATAACTGAGGGTACTATTGCAGCCCAGAAACTGGATTTATATCTTTGAGTTCTTTTTAGGTGGAGTCAGGTGTGTTTCTTCTGCCATCTGCTAGCAGCAGCAATGATTGTCTCTTTCTTTTCTGTCATTTCCTAGGGTGGACAGTGTGGAGATGGATTGCAAGTCCGCAACCTCACGTGCGTAGTGCATGATGCATCTGTTTCTGCTACATCCAAGCCAGTAGAAAACACATTATGTGGTGAGCTACCTTTGAAGGAGAGTGTACTGCAGTTACCATGCTCTGTGCCTTGCCCAGGTAAAGTCTTTTGAAAGTCACACTACGTATCTGTCTGTAATAGCTTTCTGAGACTGAGTTGCTTGCATAGCTGAGCACTGTCAGCTACTGCAGTAAGAATTTGTACTTCAGCAGATCAGGTAAATGCTCAGTCTGCTGTTTCTAGATCACCTGAAAAAGACTTTCTTTTTGGAGAAAATGAGATTTCTCATGAAGCAGAAAATCTGAATAATGCATACCATTGGGTGATAAACTGGTGTTATTTCACTGTTAAAGCCGTTGTACTCAGCCTGTCCTTAATCCTTTAAGGCCGATTCCTTTTGCAAACCTGTGATTTATTCTCTCTGCATGCAGGTGACTGCCACCTGACCGAGTGGTCAGAGTGGAGCTCCTGCGAGCTCACATGCATTGATGGCAGGAGCTTTGAAACAACGGGACGGCAGGCTCGCTCCAGGGCACTCATCGGTCAGCCTGCTGAGAACACAGACAGCTGCTCTGGACAAGTGGTGGAAACACGGCCTTGCTCAGGTAGCTTTGTCCCGCACAAGAGCTTACTCAGGTTTTATTGGAAAGTGAAGGCCGACTGGTATTGATGTTGCAGGAGGGAGGTGTTACGAATACCTGTGGAAAACCAGCCTTTGGCGAGACAGTGTGCGCACAGTGTGGTGTCAGCGCTCAGATGGAATCAATGTCACAGGTATGTCCAAAAGCAGACGTGGCTGAAAAGTCTTCTTCCAGGTATTTCTTCTTCTGCATCACATGTTTGGAGGGCAGTTGGAGAGCTTTCCTTCCTGATTTCCCCAAGGTTTCAGTTTAGAGCTGTGAGTAGGAAAGGTGGGCACTCAGCAGCCTTGCTGTCAGGTCATCTCGCATGTCATTGCATGAGGACATGTGGGTGAAGTACCCTAACTGACTTTTGGGCTAGATGATCTTAGTGGTCTTTTCCTACCTTAATGATTCTATGATTTTATGACTGCTGTATTGGCCACAGGAGGAAATGAGTGTGCCTGTACTAACAGGCCTGCCTAAGCCTTCTTGTTACTGTGGAGAAGGGAAGAGAAAATCACCTGCAATGGAAAAGAGCCCAGCTTCTGTAATGCTTCTTCTATTCAATAGACAGGAATCTCAGATCACTCAGACTGTGAGATTCCTGCTGGTGCTGTGACCTACAAATTCCTCCTGCACAGGATGAAAAGTGAAATTCATGGTCAGCACTTTGAAGCTGTACAAGAGGTTGGCAAAGGTAATAGGGCTTGCACATCTGCAGGATCTATCTTGGTATGCGCAGGATGAATGAAGAGAGAGCAGGAATGAAAATGGTATCTAGTTCTATTTATAATGAGTAGTTAAGATAATATGCAAAAGTTTTATGTGTGAAGGTTGCCAAGTAGTTAAGAACTCATTAACACTTTTTTATTCCTATAGAAACACAGAGTTTCCCTAGTGTGAACGGGCTAAGGTGTTATGTGGATTATGTCTTCTTATGTAGATAAGACATTAATGAGGACACAGAAGATCTGCATCTAATTCCTGATTCTGTCCCCAACTTCCTATGTGGCCTGGGGCAAATTGCTTAAGTCTGTATATCTCTTTTCTCTATTAATAAGATGGGCATGATAATAATTCCCTGCCTTGTGAAATTAATTAATACGATTCCTACAGATATTATGCTAATGTGTTCAGTAGTCTAGTACTTAGCCATTCAAAATAAGCAAGCAACCACTTCCTGCAGTACAGTGATCCAAGTCAAAAACACTGTAAAACATACCCATTTCTCTTTCGTTTGAAAAGCACTCTTCTGTTTTGAAAGTAACTTCTTCTTTTCCAGGAGGGTGTGCTCTTCAGACCAAACCTGCTGAAGTTCAGCACTGCAGCCCAGCATGCAGAAAACCCTTCTCCTACTGCACCCAGGTACATGGCTGCTGCAGAATGTGGCTGAGGAGTGAACATTGCAAAACCTTTTTCATTACCTTTGTATGTTAAACGCATTCTAGGACATGGGGGATAATTTAGCATGCCCATGATACCACCTCGAGGCAGTAGTAGGAATTTCAGTCCAAAAGCTTCATAGTTCTGCACGGATGAGTAAAGGTGTATAAGTGTAGAATTGTTTTGCTGTAGCAGCCTGCTCCCACTACCTCCACAGTAACCCCTAAAGCAAAGCCAGAACTGACCTGCTTGCTGAAATGGTGAGCATCTGCAGCACCCGCTGGATCTTTGAGCCCCTGTCTCCTCTTTGCCTCTGAGGTTACAAATGTCTCTTCCTGTAGGTACTGAAGTCTAGATTCAGAGCTACCAAAAATGTCTTCTCCTTGTCCTCCGTGTCAGTGGTGTCACAGCATAAAACCTTCAAATAACCAGATACAGCTGAGGTGTAGATATTTCTGTTTTAAAACTAGCTTCCACAGCTCTCAGTCTCACCTGAGTATCTTTTGGGAGGAATTATGGGAGGAATTAGCAGTGGATGCGAGCTCGTGTACGGGTTGTTGTGAAGTGATAGGTAGACATGCATTTCTTAGCTGTAAAAACTCTTGAGGTATCCTGCACCTTTCGCACCAAAAGCTCAGGATTGTGTCTGTCAACAAACTGGGGGGGCTGTAGCAAAAACCATGATGACAGGGTTAAATTCTTATCACACATACTGTAAATCAGTTTTCTGCTTGGATCGTGCAGAGCATATCAGACCATCACACGGGCATTGTAATTATAGGATAATTAGAAAAGAAATGCAATCTAAAAAAGCTATATTAAATTAGACATCCAGAAAATGGAGTATCTGTTTAGTGAATGTATGGGAACTGCTGAGTCACGGCCTGAACCTCTGATTAATCAGCTGAGGTGAGCCTTGAGTCAGCCAGAGGAGCACAGGTGAAGGCAATTCACCTGTGCTGCCGGAAGGGGTGGAGCCAGGCTCCACCCCTCCTGGACCTATTTAAGAGCTGGCTACCAGAGGGGAAGGATCTCTTCTGGAGATCCCCTCTTTTGGTATCTTCTGGTGAGCTCAACCCAAGGGTAAGCTCTTCCACTTATTCTCTTTTGTGATCATTGTCTGTTTGCCTCACTCTCTTGATTATATTGTAATTATAACATCTTGGTTATACAAAATTATAACATCTTGGTTATACAGTGAACCACCACATTCTAAGAAACCTCTGGAAGAAATGCCTACACTGGTCCAGCATAGCAGATATTTGGTCAGAGGGGTAATGCTTCCTTATAGATAGTTCTGTGAAATACTAGAGCAGAAATAGATTGGAATGGAGAGTTGGGTCTGAATTGGGATTGCTTCTTAATTCATTTCTTCTAATGCCCATCATGGTCACTACTAATTTTTGTTATTGACAAGAGGAGTTGGATCAGGCCACAGATGCCTATGGTTAAGCCTGTTGGGATGAGAATGTTTCCATATTGAGCTACTCTTCTATTACTCTTATTATTTTTTATTTATTATTATTTATTACTCTTCCATATCGAGTTACTCTTTTAACCAATTCCTCAAGTATATTATTGTTGTTTTAGATGAAGTGGGTTTGCATCACCAGGTTGTGGCCTGTTTGGTTTCGTGTCAGTGAACTTGGTAATTACATGTTGTAATTTACGTATGATGTACATATGATGTTGTAAAGTTACATATGATGTAACTTGCCATTTCTTGATAGTTTGCATACAATTTGTGCTGTCCTTTGAGAGGATACTAACATTTTAATATTGAATTCCCTTTTATTACCTAGAGAGGAGTCTGTGGTTGTGAGCGAGGATATACAGAAATAATGAGATCAAATGGTTTGCTGGATTACTGCATGAAGGTACCAGGTTTAGAAGATAAGAAGGCTGATGTTAAGACGATTTCTGGAAAAAATAAACCCATCAACTCCAAAATGCATGACATTTTCAAAGGATGGTCTATTCAACCTTTTAATCCAGGTGAAAAACTTAAATATGAATGGAATAAATTTTCTTTACAGTGTTTCTGCAGAAGAAAGATACAAGCTTTGTAGATCATAACATCAGAGATTGCATCTGGAGCAGCAGAGCGGCCTCACGGTTTCTAACTCGTGTGTCATCTTTCATTCCTTTGTGACTGTACAGAGTAATCACAATCTCTTATGTTGGGAGATAGCAAAGAGAATGAAGCAACAATATTTTGCAAAAGTATACTTAAATGCAGTTTGGGGGGATGCTTGGAATTATCTGTGATGTTTCGGTAAGTAATGCATTTGGACCAGGGAGGACTTCAGTAGCACTTCAGAAGATTCTGAGCAAAAAGTGCTTGAGACTTCATTAAAGACAACATGGGTTGTTTCTTGACATATTTCAAAAGTGTTTGAAAAAATACAGTAGAAAGCATAGAGTTTGGAGTTTTAATTGTTGGAGTTAAGACACTGAGAGAACAAAAACAAGCCAGAAGCAGGCAGGCTGCCGTGTCTAAGCAGCAGTGAGTCCTGAGTACTTCTGTGGCTTGTTTGTCATCGTTCCCAGCTGGAACAGGCACACAGGCTGCAACACGCCTCACTGCTACACAGGACTGATGCAGTAGCTGTAACAGCTGGTCACCATTTTGATTATGACTAAAATTAACTTATGCATATTAAATTTATGATATGGAAATATAACTTGAAAATAAGCAACAAAAGTATCAGATAAGTGAAGTTTTACTGAAATATTTCAGTTGCCTCTATATCCTGCTAGTCCCATCTTCCCTGTCTTCTGCTCTCTGACATTGCCTTTCTTTCCTATTAGCTTGTAATGAACATGAGATTTTAGAAAACATGCAATTTAAGGTTCTGTTGGGGGATTCCGGGAACCATAATTCTGTCTGATATATGTGATTGCACGTTGAATGTTACATTTACATATTTGATTTGCATATGGTAGTTAACCTTTGTGTTGACAGTCTCAGAGCTAATAGAGCTTGGTCCACAGCCTTTTAAAGTTGGTTGATTTTTGACCAAACTCATCATCCGATGATGAGTTATCGTTCACCAGCTGTTTGAGTCACAGGTTTGGGGTTAATTGCCTCTTTGTCAGCAACCGTGGCCCTCTGTGGGCTGTCTTCCTTAGGTGTCACATCTTCAGCTGATAACTTTATGAGGTTAGAAAAAGGGAGAGAGGTGTAGGTGGATGCTGCAGTCCTGTTTTAATCAGCATTCCAGGCTGCAAAGCTTCCTTCTGGTGAGCTTGACCTCAGCGCAGCGTTTGTGAGCCTGTTCTCCACCAGGACAAAAGACAGAGACAGGGACTAAGGAGCTTCAACAGAACATAGTGTTATGTAGTATTAGAGTATAAATGTTACAGCAACAATGTATGGTAAATAAATGAGCATGCTACATGTGCTAAGTGTATCATCAACCCATCCAGTAGGTTTTCTTCAGTCTCTATGTGCCCTTCGGACCCAGCTCAAGGCTAGTGCTCTTCACACTGTTCCCCTTTGTCTTCCCTCTTGACAAAATATGTAATTAGTGCCTTAAAACAGGCTCTGAGGCTTACTCATCTGGGAGATTGCAGTAATTAATGCTAGCAGAACCAGGAGACCACTGTTGCCTACTAGTTATGCTCTTGATAGCAAAACTGTGGTGAGTGCTCCCTGTACAGATGGCATTTATCATCCTTCAGTGCTATACTCCTTGACATTTGTGTATGTCTAAGGACTTGTATCTGTCACTAGAAGTATATGTGCCCCTCTGTACTTAATTTGTGGTTTTCCTTCCTGGTTATGGTTTGGAACACAAATTTTATAATGATTTAATGGGTCTTGATGTTTTTGTTCTTTCAAATGCTCTGCAGGAGCACGCAGAACTGATTTTGAATCTGGCTGTTTTTCCATTCTTTGCCACGCTCTGGGAGACCAGAGTTCAACACAGAAACTTTTTAAATAGTATTGTTTAAATTATTGGTTGGTGTGGTCCAGTGCCTTCGTATTGCAGCTGGAGAGCCTGTCTGCCTTCATAGCAGACCTGGTGGGGTGCAATGTGCTTGCTGTGACAAACCCTTTGCAGCACTGTTAAATGTTTCTTGGCCGTAAATTTCATACCTGACCGTCAGGAGAAGAAGTAAAACCTGTCATGATGAACAGAGCAGTTCTCACGGGGAAGATAGGCTGCAAGTGATTAGAGAAGAGGAGAAAGTCTGTGAGCAATACTCAGACTTCTCACAAAGCCTGGAGGGAAAAGAGCCCACAGCCAAAACCAGGAAAAAAAATGGGATCCGATTAAATATGTTTCCTTTTGAAAAAAAAATGATCATTCCAACATAACAAGAAAAATAAGTTCCCGGTCTGTCCCCACGTGCTTGAGTGCTCTGGCAATGGTCTCGGTCAGCCTATGTCTGTGGGCATGGAGAGGGCTCGTATTTCTGCCTCCAGGGTGGATTAATAACTCTGCTGATATGAATCAGCTCCGACTGCTGCTGTGTGGAGAAAATACCACCACGTCCATCCACCAGGAATTCTTTACAGCCAGAACTGAGCAGGAAGCAGCAATATTGATCTTTTAAAAATGATTATTATTAATGCAGAGCTTTAGTTCAAAATCTGTCCCAGTAATATGCATTAAGACTTCCTATCAGAAGGGAGTGTTTTACAACACTTGAGTGAAATGTGTGTGGAGGGGTTCTTGCATGGATTGTAGAGTGAGTCCCCTGCCATTGCATGGGGGCAGATCAAGCAGCCCTGTTGGCACCCCTACCTCAATTTTGGAAGCTTGTTATGTTTCCTGTGGCACAGCTTCATCCCTCTTACTATTACAAAGCCTATCCTTGTTCTTCCTCTAAGCTGAATTTATTCCCATTTGTTGCCCAGGCACTTTTCAGCGCTGAGCAGCTGGTTCCTGTTTGGTGTGCTGATGTCTACCCCAAGTAACCCACAAGTACAGGCTGGCTGTGGGTTATGAAATAGTGCTGCTCTGGAAAGCTGACACAAAGAGTTCCTTTCAGCTTTCATCAAAAAGCATCTGAAGTCCTTACCAAAGTTAAGATTGTGTGTTCAAAAAAATTGATTTTTACAGGAATGCCTTTCCTATCAAAAACATTTTTTGATGGATTTTTCCCAGCAACTCACTGTTGTGTTTCCCATCAATGATGCTGTAAGTTCTGCTTGTGTGTTTCCTCTTATCCTCTTGAGAAGAATTCATTTACAAAACGTTTTATTTTTTCTTTCTTTGTCTTTTTTCCAATCTTCCGACAGATGGTAAGCTGAAGATGTGGGTGTATGGAGTATCAGCTAGCGGGTTCCTCATCATAGCCCTCCTGATTTTTACATCCTTTCTGATGTGGTGAGTGTGGCACGGGGTTTTGGGCTTTGTTTGCTCACTTGTTTTTAAGATTTAATCCTTAAGGCATTAAGGAAGAATGGAACTTGGATTAGAGACCTACCCCCATTTGGTCTCTACCTCAGAGCACTTTAAAACTCTTCACATTACAGATGCTAACCTACATGATTGTGAAGATGTGTGGTGGTCATGCGGGGAAATAATTACTTTTGGTTATCAGTAGACCTATATATTTACAATTCTGGTGGGATTAGGAATGGCTTCTTATTGTTTATTGGATTCTTATTTAAAAAAAAAAAAAAAAAAAAAAAGCTGAAGAAAGGCAAGGGAGAGAGTTGGAGGTAGGAGCTACTTCCTGTTCAAGGAAAGACCAAAAATAATGGAGTCATTCAGCTGGAAAATGGTGTTTGATGGGAGAATACAATAGAGAACTATGAAATCGTGAATGGAATTGGAAAAGGGCCCAGGGAATCTTTATCTCATGCAGTGTAAGAAGTAGGAGGCATCAGATGAAGTGTTTAAAATTAACAAAAGATCTTTATTTTCACACTGTGCATTACTACCTTGTGAGCTTACTGGTAGGGGCTGTCCATCCAGAAAGATAAATGGGGTAGAAGATGGCAGAACAGTTAATGGGAGAGTGGCTTTCTTGGTGTTAAGCATGGCTTTCTGGGTCTATGTCTTAGCTCAGGAAATCCCTATGTAAGTTTTTGCAGTGAATACCTCAGGAGAAGGCACTCCTTGTGTCCAAAGCTGCTGTTACCAGCCACTGTTAGAAATAGGGCACTGTGCATGCTGAAGCTCTGCTCTGCACCAGCACATCTTATAGGGGGCTTCATGGTGACGGAGTCCAACCATGTCCTAACAACAGCATTACCCTATTTCACCCAGAATTTATTCCCTCTCATTATTTCTCTCATTCTCTCTTCAATTAAAAGCAGTGTTTGGCTGATGCATTGAAGCGTAGCTTCTGTGTTTTTTGAGTGATATAGCTACTGATCATCTGCAATGGAGCATGCTCAGTGGAGAATTTGTGAAGTAGCATTACATGCTTCTCCATCACTTGAAGACTAGAAGTGGGGAAGTGTATTTCTCAGTAATAACTATTGTTGTTTCAAGGAAAAGAATAGGAATATCCCAGGTCTAGGCAGCTCATGTTTCATTTTTTTCCATGAGGTGTTCTTTGTTTTATCATCTGTGAGAAGACACCAGAGACAAATGTGTTTGATTTCCTCTCCAGATGATAAGCACAGCTGGCTGCACACTGAGCTGCCCTTTCTCAGCAGGCTGCATGTCCACACCACCCATGGAATAACACACAAGTAGTTCCAAGCTGGCTTTCTTGGAAGAAGCCTCCATGCTGCCATGTCACCTGGTTGCAAACTGAAATAGCCAGTGTGGGAAGCTGATTTTTATGTTGAAGTTCGTTTTTTATGTTGGTGTGTCTGAGCTTCACACAGTGTTACCGTTTACGCTTTTTGCTTCCTGAAATATTTTTATTTTTCTTGCAGCAAAAAAAGCAAGCAGCATCAAAGCACTCCTCCACAACAGAAGCCTCTAACCTTAGCCTATGATGGAGACGTTGACATGTAACATAGAAAAGAAATCCAAATGTAGACATCGACTGCCTTAACCACTTTCTTTTTTGTAACTCTCAGACTTCTCAGTTTTTTGAGGAATCTCCTGATGTGTAATAACCGGGCAGAACAGAAATACTGCAAGCTTAACATTTTGCCACCTCGTTACTAAAGAAAAAATAATGGAGTCAAAGTCTTGGATCTTGTGAAACTTTCCTGAAGAAACTGGAAAATGCATCTCTTCCTGTTGAGCAATGGGAATTAAAATAAGAAAGTCTACCAACATCAAATGGAATTGGTCCAAAAAAAAAGAAAAAGAAAAAAAGCATGACAATCTGGAAGAAAATGTGACATTTACCGTAAATGACAAGTTTGACACAGCATCATTATGCACTATATTAGTGCAGGGTTCTTTATTCTTCACATATTTCAACAATGAGTTTTCTAGTGTTTACATTTCGTTCAAAGACTTTAAAACTGGATCACGTATTTTGAGAAATGCAAAGAATAGTGAGTTGGAGTGTCTGAAGTTATCTGGTTTTTTAAAGTTTCTTCCTTCTTATCCTGTTTTCTAGTCTGGAATATGATTTCTCTTCATTTCCACCTACAGGACAGAATAAGGATTGCTAAGAAGAAGCCTAGGTGGTTTCTGAACTGAAAGTATTTTTTAAAGGGTTGAGTAGATAGATGGGTGCTCTGACGAATGGCTAGAGGGTCTGATTGTTTAAAAAGTATTTTAAATTAAACAAAAGCATGTAGATACATTACGGCCAGTTTAAATTGTTATTCCGTTTAATTAATACAAACTCTGCTTTTGTATTTAAATTTTCTTATCTGAAATATTTATAAATTCTTTTTTTGAATTTAATTACCTGACCTCATTTAATATACATCAAACACAAATACGGTTTGTAGCAGGCCTTGCTTTTTTAAATGTTTCAAAACCACTGAAAAGTTACATGTTGTAAACATCTGGGAGTATTTGAAGAGGGTACGTGTTTATAATAGTATGTGTTGCAAGTAAGGAAGTGCCATCTTGTGGTATTGACTTGTATTTATAAGCAAATAAAATGCTAAAGAGAGTGAGAAAGTTGCTTCTGGTATGTTGAATTAAATGTGTGTAAACAATATTCATTATTAGTCCTTTACTGTGTCTGAGACTGAATGCTGATTTCAAACAGTTCTGGCATGTTTGGTGCTGTAGTGATTAGCTGAAGAAATGGTGTAGACAAGCACAAGTTGAGAGTAATTGCAGATCTGGAGAACGCTCAGGGTATTTTTAGCTCAATGCTGCTTCTTTTTGGAATAATTAGAAGGGAAGAAAAGAATTATTAGCAGCCCTTGTCAACATGCAGTTGCTGTGCAAGGGATCACGAGAGAAGAGCATCACCAGGCAGAAGGCAATGCTCGTGTTGTCACAGCACTGCTCATATTCAGAGTTTGAACGCTATGATTTCACTGGAGATATGGCACTGTGAATAGGTTTACTTCCTGGCAGGCAGGAGGTCACAGCATCAAGCCATGGTGGTGCTGTGGCTGCAAAGCAAGGTCAGAAACACACTTTCCTTTTCCAAAGAAACAAATATTGATGGAATTGAGAGGGAACACTGCCTCAGTCACTTGCAGAGAACGCAGCTTCCTGCCAAAGGCGTTTGGCTGGTCCTACTTTCTGCCTTGGAGTTCTAAGTGATCATGGTCCTAGCAGCAGGGTCTGGTTGTTATCAGTAACATTGGGAGCCTAATAATATATATAGCCTATACATATATGTGTGTGTGTATATATATATATATTTATTTATTTTATTTTTTCCTCTTTTTTTGCAGTGCCCAGTACTGACCCTTTGAGTGGCGTATGACTTACAAGGGCAGTGACATTCCGGTGCTGCTAGGAGGAGTACTGCCAGGCCATAACATTAGTGTATCTGTGGGATATGATGTAAGGGGAATGGTAGCTTGTGAAAAAATGATGGAATAAACTCAATTAAGAAAGCTGCTCAAACAGGCATTGGGGTGGGGAAAGTTGGTGTAATAATAACAAAGCATGGCAGCTGCAACATGTGGCCATTTTCCTCAGTATCAGCCCAAACCAAAATGCTTTCTTCTTTCCCTGGGCAAGCCCAAATACTGAAAGCACAGAATTTGTGCTTTGCTTGAAGATCTGCTCGTGAATGCTGTTACATGTGTCAGCTGCACAGGTGGGCCCCGTCTGGGATATTTGCATGCGCAGATACCGCATCCAGATGTCACTGTGCCTAAGTACATGGAACATCTGGGCTTTCGGTGTGTAGGAGCAGCAGAGGGACTGGGAGCCCAACGTTGCTGTTAGCAGGGCTGGATCCCAGCTCTAATTCTCTCTCCTCCAGCAGTCACACAGGGAGCACCGCTGAGTGTTTTACCTTTGGATGCCACAGCCAAGAGCAGAGAGTGATTTTATTTGCCCTAGAAATAAAATGGTGTAAGAACTCTTGACTAGCCAAGATAGGTAAAGCCCTGTAAATTAGCTTGTGCTTGTCTTCATATGGTTTTAAGAGTAGCCTAATTGCATAGTGTTCTTTGCCAGAGTGCACTTACATTCACCTGTTTCCTAGAAAATGAAGAAAATACAGTCAGTTGAGCATTTCCATTTTGGGTTAGTCCTCATAAGTATGATTGTTAGGGATCAGATCATTTGCTGCTCTCGTGGCATAGCTCGTTTCTTGAAAATCTGCCTTTTTTCTAAATATATAGCCTAATTTGCACTTATGAATGGAAGAAGAAATGTAGTTCAATGTCAGGGCTTGATTTCAATTGAGAAGTAGTAATGCAGAAAGAAATGATACAACTCAGGGCGTTTTGAAACATGGCTTGGAATTCCTGATATATTAGCATGCCTCAGGACAGATTTAACATGTAGCTGGTATAAATGTAATGTAAATGAAGTAACTTCCCTGTCTCACAGCTGGGACACGCTCCTGTCCTGGGCAGCAGCTTGATTTATGTTATCTCTCTGAGGATGACTTGTCTGGGAGCACAGCACCCCGCTGTCCCTTGAAATGGCTTTGCATTTGGCCGTGCGTGGAGATGTGGTTCCATTTACACCTGGGGAGAAGAGAGCAGACTTGGCTGAAAGGCTGTAGTGGTGATCACAGCTGCAGGATGCTTTCTGCAGGAATGTTTAGCGTATGCCCTTTTATCTCCCAGTCTAATACAGTTTGTCCTTACTTTAAAATGTAAACAGCTTTCATTGGTCACACATGAAATGTCTCAGAAAAGAATCCAGAAACCCTATATTTGCACTCGCTGGTAATTATGTTCATTTGCCTTGATGACATGCTTTGTTACAATAGCGTGTAGAGTGGACTCCAGACGGATACATGGGTTAAAGCAATTGATGGGATTCGTCCTGAAAGGCAAAGAAGCATTTTGATGGAATGAAAAATCAGATTCAATTTCCTTTGATAAAGAAGAATGTTAATTTTCTCCTCGGCTCTATGAAAGTTCACCTGCATGTTATGAATATCGTGGTTGTTACATGACAATATGACATTTGGAAGAAACTCTTCAAACATAATAACAGTGGAGAATCTTTCAACAGTCTGTGGATGCATGGAACACCAGGCATTAATTTTGCAGCTGCAGAAGGTAGCAGTTACAATGTTTTTTTGAGGCAATCTGGCTTCCAGTGCACGTGACCTGGCTTCAAGTAGCTGTTCTGCAGAAGTGTCTGCAGTGAGTGCAGTGGAACGGCCTCAGGTTGCACCAGGGGAGGTTCAGGTTGGATGTTAGGACAAATTTTATCTCAGAAAGAGTGGTATTGGCATGGGCTGCCCAGGGAGGTTGGGGAGTCACCATCCCTGGAGGTGTTCAATGAGCATGGAGATGTGGCACGGGGGGATGTGGTCAGTGGGCATGGTGGGGACCGGCTGGAGTTGGACTTGATCCTAGTGGCCTTTTCCAGTCTTCACGATTATGTGATTCTAAATTAAGTGATCTAATCATACAATTTTATTTTATCCTCTGCACTGCTATTAAATTCAGAGACTGAATTAGGGAAGAACAGCAGTCTGTGACTCAGAGCAGTGAAAGATTTAAATGTGCCATGAGAAATGTGTTTGGCAGATGTTCTCCTGCAGGATCAAGCTTCTTGGCTTACCTACATTGGGTGGACCAACTGTATCCAAATTTTTTTAGGTGGGGTAGTTTGGATCCATCTGAGTGCAGAAATACAGAATGGTTTCAATGTCAAGTCACGATGGATTTTAAATCTAGCCCATTTAAATCATTCCCCATGCCTTGAGAAAAGACAATGCAAGCAATTGATGGTGACAGTTGACGTCCTCAGATAAGCAATCCCAAGTAGGCCTTTGCAGGAAAGATTCTCTTATGGGAGATTTTTCTTCCAACATACACTAAGTAGGGCTTGTGGGAGTTGCAGCACAGCCAAAGCACAGGTGACTACTTCTGTTTCAGCTGCTGCAATTGAACAGCTTCCCTTAAGAGGTGTGAGTGGCACATTTGCTGAAACCCAGGCAGTGTCTGAGCTGCTTGAGCTCTCTCTCCCATGACAGACTGCAAGAAAACATCACAGTAGAAGCCAGCCAGGCCACCTTACAGCTATTTGGTGTTTTCTCTAACCCCAGCATTATTTAACTCAGTAAAGAACTTCATCTTGTAGAGTCTGACAAGTCTGGGAGTGGAGAAAAGGCAGTTCAGTATCTCAGCCCCAGTTCTACTCTGGTTCCTATTGCAGTGAGGCACTGGGGACATGCGTTGGTGTGAGCCCTGTGCCATGATCCTGCCTTTGGGGCAGCAGCAGTGACATTTGGGCACATTCCTCATTGCGGGGAAGCATCACGAGGTTGCCAGGTCTTCAGAGAATCTCACATTCTCACCTGACACAAGCAGCTGATGAAGCCTGTTAACATTTGGGCTGAGATGAAAAGCTGTAGTGCAGCTGTGTCAAGTCATGATTGCGTTGCCACTCTATTTCTTTGGATAATATGGCAGATCCACAACAATTATTTTTGAATGCAGTCTCTGTCACTGCAGAGCAGTAATGTGAAATATTTACTATTTTGTTTGCCTCGTGCCAAGTGAGTTTTCACTCAATTTGTCATTAACACTGCTGTCCTCTTCTGAGGGAAGTGTTTATTTATGTGAACTGCTCTTCAGTAATTTTGTGTTTTCTACAGGAATAGGTGCTGGCATCATCATCCAATTTCATTGACCACAAAAATCTGCGCTGATGAAGCTGTAGGACCGAAGGCGGATGTGAGAGACAGGAGGACAGATCTCATGCTCAGTAGTGCTGTTCGTACAGTGCGGGCCATTTGTGACAGAAAAAAAAATACCCTAAAATCTTCCATTTTGCAAAGTTCTGCAGTATTTTTGTTGCACAGGCAGAACACTACATAGAAAGGAGCTGTGCTGAGTCTATTGGGTCCCCTCCACAGCTCCCACCTCACATGGCTGTGAGCTCCTCACGGAAATCAGCCCTGCTGAATTGGCAGCCTTGCTGAATTGGCAGCCCTGCTCACAGATCAACAGGGCTGACTCTTTGGGAGTACAGTTAATTAGTAATGAACATTTTGAGTATTTTTCCACATAATATTAGTGCTTTTACTGTTCATCCCCTCATTTTCATCACCATGACAGCCAAGATCTAAAACACAGAGAGCTGCCTGTCTCACGCAATCAGGCAAACCTGAGAAATGGATGCTAGGAGAAAAAAGCCCAGTGCTGTGAAATCTGAAATGAAGTGAGGAGAGCTGCAGCCTGAGGACAAGCAGCACAAGTCTTCGCTGGGTTCGACCAACCTCGTCTCCTCCTGTGACCAACAATCCCATGCATCACTACAGGCTTGGGCCAGGGTGGCTGGAAGTCTCCACAGAGGAAAAGGATCTGGTGGTGTTAGCTGCCAGCAGCTGAGCATGACCCAGCAGTGTGCCCAGGTGGCCAAGAAGGCCAGTGCCATCCTGCCAGCAGCAGCAGGAGGTGATCATCCCTTCTCCAATGGTGAGGCCGCACCCCAAATACTGTGTTCAGTTTTGGGCCCCTCACTACAAGAAAGACATGGAGGTCCTGAGTATGTCCAGAGAAGGG